GAAGAATCTTAAATTAAGAATGAAAGGGTTAGGCTTAACAAATGAAAAATAAAGCGATACCTACAAACATAATGCAATTGTAATTGATAAAATAATAATAATAAATAATAGCACACCCACTCTAGAACAATTAAGCTATTCATTCAATAAGACATCAATGAATGCATACATATTCCTAAGTCGAGAGGACAATACAAATACCAACTTATATTCTTTATTTGGCCTTAAAAGGGCGATGCGACTTTAGGCCTTTTCCTTTAAACAACTTTGTCCTATGAAGAATTAAAGTTAGCAGAACGCCTTTCGATGCTTTGAAATATTGCTGATTCAATAACCAAGATTAAACATTTTATATCGCTTACGTGCTGCCCAAGGAAAACATTCTATCGAAAACCTAGAGGTTGCTCACAAATAAGAGAAAGCTAGAGCTGGTATGGTACCAGGCGCATAAAAGGTGAGTTAGAAGCTGAAGATAGTATGACCACGTTTTTTCTTCCAATTACCCGGAATATGTACATATTTCAGGGAGTTTGCTCAAATGTACATATAAAAAGTAATTTGTCAGTTCAAGGATATCGATGGCGTCAGATTGAAGAGGCTTAATGAGTAACATATGAGAATAATGCTAATTCGAAAAAAATTATTCGCAGTGTTAGTTCGAGGTATGCCTAAAATAACGATAGGCCAGAGTGTAAGTTGCGTTGTGGTTCATATAAAATGCATACATACTAGTCCTAGAGATAAAAGTAAGGAAAATATCGTTTAAATATATCGAAGGCGGAATCGCAATGAGAAAAGCACAATTAAGGGTAGTAGACAAGAACAAGTTGAATGAGTCGTCTATCCTGGGAAAAACGAGACTGATAACGTATTAGTTGACTGAATTTTAGATGCTAAACAATCGTTCTCGATCCTTTCATCTAAATCTCGCAAACTTATCGGCCTTCAGGATAAATGAGTCTTATGGATTATAAATCTTTCCGAGTAAAGAATATGATAATGCAATTCAAAGTTATAGTTACTAATTATAATATGATATATCAAGGAATAATAGCTTTTCTAGGCAAATAACAGACAAGTTATGTGAAAATATGGGCTATCAACGTGTAGGAGTTAATATTGCTTGCTTACATGCTCTCGAGGACTGGGTATGTATCGAGCGATTGACATCTCTCATCTTTGTAAAGTGTGGCCAAGAGTCTCGCCCTTTGGTGTCCAGCGCCAGCCAGTAAGGCAGCAGCCAAGGCCCGTTCTAGATAGGCCATTCGAGCAGAATCAGCAAGCCAGGGGAAGCGAACTGACAGTTCAGCATAACGTTGACCAGCTTCAAGAAACTTTTGCTTAAAATCAAGGAGACGAGCATATGCAGCCTACATAAAAAAACATCATTACAAATGAAGGAAAGCTGCTAGAATGGGGGAAAATAATCCAAATGAAAAGAATGTGGGATAAGCTCATCTTAGTATTAGTTGCCAATCTTACAGAGAGTAGCATAAGCTGTATAATGAACATAAGAGAACCTCTGACCTTATAACGTAAGAGAAGACTTTCGTCGTTACACTCTGGCTGGAGAAGTGAGGCGCGGTTAATAAAAGCCTCGGCCTCAGATGACTCCCCTAAGGTGAGATAGTGCTCCGCCGTTCGAAGATAGATACCCAATTTGTGTCGGACATCATAAACCCTTTAATA